ATTAACATTTTCTATAAACCGCGTGGAGCGGTTTATATAGCGTCATATAAGGAACCGCTCGACCAATCAGATTGCTGGAAACTCTTTGCTCAGCTCTGAAATTATACTAAATGCTATATATGTATATACATTTTTCTTTGTATTTCTTGTTTGTTTCACTCTGGAAGGGTTTATCAAATGACTGACTTTCTCAGCTTTTCAACTGAGTAATTACCTGGAAAAAAAAAAAATGAAAAGAAAAGAAAAGAAAATTAAATTTCGTTGTTCATCGTAAGGAACCACGAGTAGTCGGTATAATGATAATAATAAGAATCGAAATACACCGATTACAACGCGCCAAAACACTCCAATAACAACCAAACAAGGTGCAATAAATAGTAACACGTAAAACTTTCAACCTTGTCGCCTGACTGAAAGACAGCTGGACTCTTCATCGTGAGAGAAACGATTGAACGTTCGTTCATTTATAAATATCTCTTTGATATTCATTCTTTTGTGCTCGGGATATCGTTTCAATTTTTTCAACCTTTACTGATTGAGTCGAGTTGTTGGCTTTTCCAACTCTAGTCATATAGAGGCTGGATCTATTTAATAAACACTTTGTAAGTATCAAGAAAAGAAAAGGAGGTATCAAATTACAAACCGGTCTCTCTACTCAGTTTACCAAGCAAGCTGCTTGAGAGGAAGTTGTGTTTCAACATTGATAATCACATTCGTGTAAATAAATTGCTATCAGAATGTCAGTGGGGATTTATACAAGGTCGCTCGACGGAAGGTATGTTACTTGCTATGATTGAACAATGGAAAGCAGCTGTTGATAGTGGTTTGACTGTGGGAGCTATATTTATAGACTTTAAAAAAGCATTTGACACTGTGTCACACAATGTTTTATCAAGTAAACTCCAGGCTTTTGGTATCTGTGGTCACCTTCATGGGTGGATTATGCATTATCTTACAAATAGAAAACAGTATACTGAACTCAACGGAACCAAATCTTCTACTCTTAATGTGGACTACGGTGTACCACCAGGGTCCCTGGTTGGTCCAAGGCTGTTTACTATATATGTAAATGAGCTGCCAGAATCAATAAATGCAGGTAAAGTGTTCATGTATGCTGACGATACCACTATATATTGCACTGGGACAAACTTTGAGGATGTTGTCTCAAAGCTGAACTCTATTATGGATCAGATATCTCTATGGAGTGTCAAGAATAAACTTACTATTCATCCTAGTAAATCAGAAGCTATGATTATAAGGAAATCTCCTTTTATTGGTCCACTTTGTCCTGTACGTTATGGCTCTGCCTTTGTGAACTTTGTTACTTCCACTACTTGCCTTGGCGTCACCATTGATAATAAACTGTCATGGTCTGCTCATATTGAGAAAGTTAACAAGAACTTTTCCAATAAAGTATGTGCATTGAAAAGAATGTGTCATCTTCCACAACCTGTATTACAAGATATCTATTATTTCAAAACAATTATTCCTTGTGTAACCTATGCAATAGCAGTATGTGGTAATTGTTCAACATCTCAATTATAAAAGAGCTTGTCGGGTGATGAATAAGAATAATACATCCTCGAAAGACTCCAAATGGTTACCAATAGACTACTATTATAAGAGGCACTTACTTATGTTGATGTCTAAAGTATTTTATGGCCTGGAACCTAAACCTATATTGGATCTTTTTACAAAGAAAGTCTGCATTCGAGCATCTAGAATACCCAATCAAATGACTATTAAGAGGATTAAAACTGATTTTGGCAGACAATCAGCTCAATATAGAGGCCCTCATATTTGGAATTATTTGAATAGCAAAGTTAAAATTTCCGAAGTAAACACAGATGCCTTCAAAAACATTCTAAGAAAGTCTGTTGTGGATATTAATAACTTTACTTTTGACAAGGAAACTATTTTAAATAAGAATAAATACAATGAGTTTATTTATGATTAAGACTGTCATTATAAAAGAACTTCATAAGTGAATCATTTAATATATTTACTTTTATATATTTTACTTTTATATATTTTATATTGTATCATTAAAATATTTTCATCAATGTAATATTGTAATAATGTTTGTACTATTTTATAATAAGAATTGTATTATATTGTAGGTCCACATCAGCCCTATGGGCTGCCTTAATTTAACCTACATTAATAAATAAAATGATGATGATGATGATGATGATGATGATGATGATGATGATGATGATGATGAGAATAATAAGTCTGCCAGTGATGCAATATTGATCTCACCTCAGTAGACCAAAATTTTTCTGCTCCGACATCTGCATCCGAAAGCATTTCTATGAGTAATTGGATTCTGTTTTCTGCAATCAAACTTGCTGGAAATTTATATTTCAAGGTGGCGGGAAAAAACACGATTTATATGCCTATCGATTTTGTAAAATTTCTGTGATTTGATGAAAACTCAAGGATAATCTGGCAAAGGTTTTTGTTGTTCGGGAATTGGAGATTGCACCATGAAATTTTATATAGCCCCACTCATTTACAAAGAGAAGAGGAGCCAGTAGTCCGGTCGTCAGTATTAAGTCGATCTATGTAATCAAATATATGAATTAGGTGATGTCTGTCGATTATTTCCACGCAAAAAAATATATGTTATTCTTGAACGCGTTAAAACTTGCACTCTATGAGCATTAAAAAGCCCAGCCATCGTCAGGGCAAGTATTACCTAAGGGTGAAAATCTCGCCATTGTTTGGTGTAAAATTAGAAAATTACAATTCAGTTTTTCCTTTCTTAGCATGTTTCTATTTCAGGGATCGTTCTGATTGGCGAAACGTTCCACGCGATCCTAGCTGGTCTCTAAATTATCATATCTTAACGTTATTTAGATTAAAATATCAGCTAAAGCAACTCTAAGATGCAACCTGCAATTGAAAATCAATCATTTTAACCAGCATTGAATCTTACGCCCTCTATAAATGAAGTCAGTGATTTCAGCCTGGTCTCTATCTTGGCGTAAGAGCAGGATCTTCTCTTGCGTATATTGAGGTTATATCTTAAAACAAGCCATTTCCCATCACGTTGAGATTTATTACGATACAAAAACGGAGACACAAGGCCCGACCAATCTTAGAGATCAAATTTGTTTCCTTATAGGCTTTGGAACTACTAGATTGGGGGTCAGACTGACTTAAAATTTTCACTTGAAATACTGGATATTCTGAAACGTAACGCAAATAAAATCGTAAAATCAAAGAACACTCAACCAAGCATCAAGACGAACACTTACACGAACACCACTAACCCAATACAAAAGTAATCTCGCTATTTTTAACTTGCTATTCAGTCTGCATTCGCACTATCAGTTCACTTTCATTAAGCTTCGGTGGATGGTCAGTTTCCGAAGAGTTTAAAATCAAACAGCTTTCTATCATTTTAATGAAGCTTTTTAAGTAAAATATAGCACTATGGTTTCACTAGACTAGTAAAGTAAAAATAGAATTAACTAAAATGTCAACTTCAGTGAAAACACTCTACTCTTTCGACATACTCGCTTGTTTTGCTTAAGATAACCTTTTAATTAAACCACTTTTCTAAGTACAAAATTAAACAGCATTTGTAATGTAGATCAATCAAACTAGCGTTTCAGTGGTAAAAATGCACAACACCACTTAAGTTAGCCAGTCTTGCTTCTGCCTTTAGCTATCACTGATTATTCTTTAAGTCGGTTAATATGAGCACACCTTTTTGTAAGCAATCTCAAAATGTTACACCACCTATGGCACTGGATATTTACAACACAAAATACAATCGGCTTCTACAAATTACAGGATACTTAGAATGAAACAAATCTAACCCTACTGTCCTTCAAACCAAGAATTGAATGATAAGCTTTGGAATTCATCTCAATAATTATGGCACTTTAAACATTACACCGTTTTATCAAATGACCCGTCCGGCCCCGCTCGCGCAGTCCTATAAAAAAAAACTATAGTAAAAGCTGAAGTGTGCAGGGGCGGACGGGTTGACGTGAGCTGGTCCGGAAAAAACCGTCCAGCTCTGCTGCCCCCGCGTCGCTTTGTTACAAAAACAGGAAAACAGAAATGAGAAAAGAAATCGCGATTTACAAGGAATTAGGAGTTTCTTGTTCTGACATGAAAAAAAGAAAAGAAAAGTTCTCATTACAGAATTTTTTTGTGCTCGTGTGGCTGCGTGTGCCCGTCTATCGCGTCCAATCTGGGTTCAAATTTTCAACACTTAGAGGTCAAATAATAAAAAATGATTATTAACTGAGTTTGGTTGGAACGGCTCAAGGTTGTGACGTACAGATCGACCGCAGCCAGCGAGCCAGCCCCGTCCACACTCGGTCAATAAGTACATATTGTTATGTCCCTGGTTTTCTTTATATTTAGTTCAGACACTAGTCATTTTGTCCATTACAACCATTATGGAGCGACGATTTGTCTTGCCGTCATCAGAGCATGAATTAGATGATTTAGAGTGTTCGTTCCGTTGTATCAGTTTGCCATAGGCATAAATCTCTTTGTGGGATCGTGAATTTGAGATAGGTGGAGTATAAGGATGGCTTTCCTCGTTATTATTTCCGTTTTTGAAAGAGGTCTTAGTTGGTGTAAAGGGCGATGAAGACCTTCTGTCTGACGTTACCCGTACAATGGAAGTCCTCAAGTGGATACTGTTGAACGACTCGATGTGCAAGGCCTGTAGAAACGCTCGGCGGAAGGTCTTATTGAAAATCACGTAAAGCACTGGATTGATTGCGCTGTTGGCGTGTCCAAGCCAGAACGACATCAGCACCAGATAACTCGACATGCACGTAAACGTCTCGGGTTCAAAGTATATGTAATAGTGCATGATGTGTAGAGGGAGCCAACACACCGCAAAGGCAAGTGTTACTGTTATCAGCATCTTTACCACTCGTTTCTTGGAGCTGTTAATATTTGTGTCGCCTCCGCTTGCAATTCTTTCTCTCCATAACTTATGAATAATCATGGAGTACAGAATCGCCATCAAAATTAAGGGAAACGCGTAGAGCGCCACAAACACCGTAACATTGAAGAATTTGTCGAAGTGAGCAGGCATTCGCTGCCAGTCGGGGTGACAGTAATAATTGTCGTTTCCCACGTCCTTGAGTGGTTGGTTAACTTTGAAAACCTCAAGGTAATGTCCCATGATGACAATCGACATAATCCAGATTATAACCAAAGAGACTTTCGAAGTTCTGAGGTTAAGACAAGTTTTCCATACAAACACGATTGTCAGAAATCTATCCACTGTGATGACCATAAGTGTGATAACTGACGCTGCGAGCGACGTCGTAAAAGAGAAATGGATCGTCTTGCACAGGATTTTGCCAAAGATTCCTCCAAACCATTGAAGTATCACAAAGAGATAGGAGACAGACCAAGGCATGACGAAGATTGTTACCAGAAGGTCAGCAACTGCCATATTGACAATAAGAAGATTCAGCACGTTCCTCATGCTCTGTCTCTTGAAGACCACATACAGAACAAGCGAGTTTCCCAAAAGGGCGACGGGAAAGATGATTGCATACAGTAGGGTTAAGGTTGCTTGTAATGACACTGTACTATCCCCCAGCCCGCTGCCTCCGCACTTGGCCATAGTGCTGCCGTTGCCTAAGATAAAACCAACACAAAAGCGCATGAGAAAACAGATTTGAAAAGGCTTTTAAAACAATCAAGGTTGATTTGCTCACCAAGTATCTAATTGGGAAGAAAGTCCATTATTCTCGCGACATTTACTTGCCGTAGCGGAAAAATTGGAGATTTGTGATATTAACGGCGACGCGTGAACTAGGTGGATTTTAATCGAAGAGATCACGCGCGTTGTTTTTCCGTAGGTAAATACTGCCGTGGCTTACTAACTTGTAGAAAAAACCAGTGATGTTTGGCAACGTAAAATGTCTGTTTATTCGAGCACCATAGAGATGTGAAATCTTAAAAGTGAATAAATAATCCGCGCAAATATTTCGGTTCCAATTTCCTTCTACCGAATAACTTGAAATGAGTGAACGTTGATCGCAATTTGTTTAGTGGATTTCAATATTCTTATTCAGTTACTTGCCACCATTGTCTCTATACACCACTGTACGGTTCTAGTTCTTCATGCCGGACGCATCATTTTAAGTACATCCATAGGTGGTTGAGCACGCTATTACGCAAAAGCGCCGTAAAACTTAGGTAATTTTTCATCTTTACATTTATTAGGTCTTATTAATAATCCGCCAAAAAAGTGGATTTTGAAGTGGAAAAGATGAATGTATATATATATATATACATTCATATATATAAAACTCCATGTCTCAAATTTCTTATTCTGGATCGACCTAGTGACTGACACTAGTGAATCTCCAAAATAATTTCTAATCTTTAGACAAATTATGATAGATGCTTATGATTTCGATTAATATGGTTTTTTCCAGTAGATAGCTTTTGTTGGTTCTTGTAGCTCATGTAGCTCCCAAGTAAGCCCAAAAACCTTCTGAAAAGATCACATGTCTTTTTAATCAGTTTGAAATCATCACTCGCGACTAGCAACGAGTCAGTGGTATTGGGTCTGGGGCCGCTTGCCGTGAACAACTCAAAAGCTATCTTTCATCATACCGTGACAACACAATTCACTTCAGTTTCATTGTCGTCATGGTTACTATGCTGCTCAAAACTTTCTTACAAGACACGCCATTGACTGGAATGCAATTTTCGGAGAACCTTCAAAGTCCACGTGTGTTGTTTGAAAAAAAAAATACAAAGGTGTTAATGAATCGATATTTATGTCCTCCTTTAATCTTGTTTACTTATCAATTATCCGCTGGAGACAGCCATTCGAATGCTGAATTAATTTTTATTGCACGAAGTGATGAAAAAATGATTAAGATCTTTGCTCTAGTCATATCACCTGCTGTTCAGCACGCAATTCCGTTTCATGAAATATGAAAACTTCCTTAAGTTCGATCTAACTGTGGGGCAGAATCATGATATACTTTGATATGGTGAGCAACTCACGTCGTATGTTACCTGACAATCGATGCTTCGGATATTATTAAACAAACAAAATGAAGGTGAGGGTATGCATGTATCCGTCCATAGTAACTTTTGTTACGAATCAATCGCCGTGTCATTGCATTTATGATGGATTTTGTATTTTCAAAACAGAAATAGCAGATCAACAATTTACAACATTTATTTCTGATTGGCTGTTCCCCCTAAGGTTAGAATTCAAACCAAGTACCCTCTTATAGATCTTAGTTCAAGTATTCAACACTTGAAACTGAGAAGATCTGCCAATCAGACAAGCGCAATAGCCTTCATTAGTGACAAATATTCCTAAATCGAATTGTACATCTCATCAGGAAGAGCGAAATATTTCTTGGTGAAATCGACTCGGTAAAGTAATTAAAGTACAAAGTATGGTGGAGCATGTTTCAGAATATACAGAGGTATAAAAAAAGGTACATGCCCACGTTTGACAATGATCCCCCCGCATTCTCATACCATTGAGAATACAAATGTTGTTTCCGCTTGGAATGTAGAGAGCTTAACGTTCAAATTTCAAACATTCTCTCCTTTCTTGGTTCCTAAAAATAAACAGACTTGAGAACAACGAGTTGGATCCTGTTGCTTACTTTGCGACAACTAAACTATCGAGCTAAGATATATGACAAATGTTGACATGATACTAGTTAGATGTAAAAGGTGAAGTTCTGTATCAAGGCTGCAAATAACTAACGGGCAGTCGCCGGTCACGTTGTCCAGTCAAAGATGCTTTTGCTCGGACACTACCCGTTTTTGGCCGGTCAGATTTTAACAGTCGGAGCTCTTGCGATAGTGAACCCAGATTGCACAGTAATAATTTTACAACTAAAAAAACAACTGAATCCAAGTCGGTCTGGCAATAAAAATTACAAGTTAATAATTTTACTACTCTTTACTGCAGAAGCAGCCTCGCATTGAGTACGTGGAAGGGTTATGACAAACAACCGCAATTGTCCGTTTTACTTTACATCTGGCAAAATCACTTATAATTAAATATTACACTTTGGCAATCGCCACATCAGTTCTACAACTGAACTTAAAGTAAAACATGCAGAATGTGTGAAAGCTGAAGGGTTCAATCGATCTCTTAATTAAGTTAACTGAAATGTAAGCTTAAATATAAATAAGAAACACTTAACTTTAACTCGTATCGTCTTAGGGTTTCGAAATTCGGCACCACTGTACGTAATTGTATAAAATGCATGGCGTCTTATTCCAAGTGCAATTGTTGCGCTCGCTGACTTTCTTCCATTTAGAATCCCTTAAAGACAACCTTATTCTTCCACTTTTTGTGTTATACGCTCCATTTTTGAGTTAATCACCAGAAAGCTTAGTAACCAAGCACGTTTTGCTGGGTTTGCTTGAAGTGACATATGGTTTGTTCTTTTCGACTTCTTTTTTTTCAAACACTATGTTTTCTTTTTGTTAGAGTAAAAGAGTGGTCGGATTCTCCAGGTTTTGGGCCTTTTGCTCGCTTTTTGCACTTTGCAACAAATGCTACTTGGAGTATTCTCGATGCAGTAAGATTATTCTTCGTGAGGGTGCATTCCGATCATTCAATCAATCAAACAATCAATCACTTTATTTAAGAGTAAATGATGGTATCTAGCTAAAGGTACAAGCCTCTACTAACTGGTAACACTTAAATTAAGTAAATAAAATAACGGAAGACACGATGATTTGCGGTCGCGACAAGACTTGATGACATCGTGGAAACTTGCGACTGCCTGGAATTTCTCGACCACTAATTTGTCTACTTTTATATTCGTTTTTTTTTTCTTTCGGAAACATGACTGTTATCCCTTGTGATTATCAAACAGTTAAAAATTAAAAATTCTTTGAACGAGTCGGTAAAGGACCGGACAAGATGTCCGGCAATCCAAGGATTTATCCGGTCAGTACCCAATTTTGACCGGACATTGTCCGTTAACCGGCCGTTATTTGCAGCCCTGTGTATTGGTCCAGTAATGGAATTAAAAACTGGTTGTTATTCATTTCTTAAAGTAAAAAACGCCCTCTTATGAACTAAATTCTGGGAACTTATCTCTACAAAACCGTTCCGCTGAGAGTATTGACCACTTTTCAAACCAGAGTAACTCCTAACAAAACAACGTATTTACCCATAGTTTCGTTAAGATGTATGTAATAATCATACATTATACCCTTGATCTAAAAAAAAACCAGATAGATAATGTGATACTTTTTAGTAGAAATTCTGACCTGTCATACTGTGTCACTGAAAGGATGTTGACGAAAGACAACAACTGAAACAGAGTACCTTTGATGAAATGTGGTTCCGCGTTGAGCTTTTTGCGTGACTCGAGGAAAAATGTTAATTATCTTTCACACGCGACCATTTAAAGAAACTCGACGTTTGGGTGTTCTTGATTTTTAATTACCACCTTATGACTCAAAGAAAATGACAAAGAAATACTCGCCTCAATACCGCATAGCTTTTTCCCCCGAGAGAGATTTTTCCTCCTAAAGTTCTCAGTAGTTTCCATTAGGTCATAATTGAACTAAGTAATAATACAAGTTGGCACTGTGACAGTTTCATTTTCTTTCGTTAAGTAAATGGTTGAAGATTTGGTAGGCGTTGACTTAACGAAAGAGGAATCTTTATAGGAAGAACAATAACAAAAAACTCGCCTCGAATCAAGTGAAATGGTGTGAATGGCAAGGAGCAATTGTTATGAAAATGTACTTATCATCTAGTTTGGATAGTTCCTTTTCAATGCGTGAGTTGTCACTGGCGTTCGACGACAATTAATTCAGTTGTTTTAGGAGTCTCCTGCTTCACTCTTATCATCAAAGCCTATACGTCACGATTTGATACGATTTGATAAATCACAGTTTGGACATCAATACCACACACACAATAGGGTGAAGATAAGAAAAATAAGAATCGGCGGACATGACATATACACCATATGGGTTTTAACTTTATGTTGTTTTGATTGAGGCCGAACTTTCCTCTTGATTTCTGCGATCGTTAGAATACGACGTCAGTGATTGTCTTTTAACCACCTGTGTTTAGGCGTGATGAGAATAAAAGCTGTCGTCCTTTACTCGTTTTTATGGCATCCATCACTTTCGGCAGGAGGTAAAAGCTTATTTCCTTTCTTCCTCAAACGGTAAATTCGTGAACTGACAAAAGCATGCGTGTTAGACGAACCTACTGGGGCTACTTGATATAACCCATGGAGGAATTGTCCCTATTATTAGCATAATGGCTGATTAAATAATGATATGCCGAAGTTTCAACAAGCAAAATATAACCCATATCTTCGGGCTCCATTTTGTAGCTGTACTATCCATATCCCTGAATATATACTCGTATTGACCGCATAAGATAATTACGGAAGTAATATTTTGCTCTTATATTTTTCTTTTTGGAATTTATGGACCATCGTCACAAGTTATAACTGCATAATATATATTTTGTCTTTCTGCGATCTTAGTCCGAGGGTTTGATATTTGGAACTATCAAATCATTTGCATTAATCACGATCTTCTTTATCCACGCAACGGTCACTTTGAATGAGTAAGATTGATGATTAATATTGGATTGCTGGTGTCAGCTGAAGCTCAGAAAGGTTTCAACAATAGATGACTATCAGCATGATAAATCATAAAACTGTCTTCTCATCATTCGCAGAATGCACAAATTACACGCTTAATTTAATACCGTAAGGATTACAGCTTTCGATATGTTCATGATGATCATTATTTCTACCTCTATTATATGGTATAAAGCCGCACTTTTGTGTGAGAAAGTGTCAGATTTTCTCTGAGCGACGTTCCTACACATCAGGCTCAGCCTAGCTACCCCACGGCGCTCATCAAGTCTCCTTTTAATTCCTTACACTTTAATGTACTTGAAAAGAAAAGAGAAAACAGACAAGAGAAGATAAATTGCTGCAGTTATAGCAGTTATGGTAGCAGTCATAGCAGTTATTAGTAAATAAAACAAACACACAAAAGGACTTTTTAGGTCCACGGCACGCGGAATGTCTTTACACTTTGAAGTTGTTCATCCACCGAAACGACCTCTGATCCATTTCGTATGCATGCCAACTGTAGACAATCCGATACCCTGGAGCACAACACACCATTGCGTTTGCTCATTTGCCACTATTTTATCTCTGTAGCTGTTGAGTAATCGGAACGGATAAATGTGAATGATATTACATTTATCAGCCCGGGGCTATTCTGCGATGTCCATTTGGTCAGTCTTTCAATATTGCAAACGTCATGCACGCGAACTTGTAGACTGAAGCTTTAACAGCTATGCTTGCTTTATCATACATATTTGTTGATATAATTAGAGATTCTAGTTAGATTTTATTACTTTATAAAGTTGAGGCTAAATGCCACTAATGCAAACGCGGAACCTTCAGCTCTCTGCCGAATTGAATCGGTCACTATGACCAATTCGTACCAGTCTACATTACTCTGAAAATATTTTGACATTACTGTTGAGAATAGCTTAAAATTATGCAGTTCAGCTGACCAAATCTTCATGAGTTTGACATTTTAAAAATTTACGGCTCCCATCTATGACTAAATATAGAGAAAGACGAAAAAAAAATTGCAGATTTACGTAGTCTTTTGGCAGAGAATAAAAGCCTTTAATGAGATGAAATATAGCGTTGCCTTAAGACCTCAGTCACTGGACATACTATAAATTACTTAGATCGAGCAATCATTCTATCCGTTTTTCATGTTTGTCATGCATACATCGCTTGAAACAAATCTAAGCTTAGTTTACTTACAAATCAGCGACTTAAGTGTTTTAATGTCGGTGGCAAAAAGGGTGAACTCTAACATATAGAAAAACAAAGACATATAAGAAATTCCCGCATGTACATGTCAGTTGGTTAGAGTGAAAGATTCTAGGGAAGGTTTCATCAGAATAAGTCAAAGCAATCGGATTACGACTAAAAATGACAAGCCTAACCTCTTAACCAGATTAAAACTTCCTTACCTTCATTTGCTAACGAGGAGTTTGTCATTTTCTGGGAATATTGGTGCTGTCGAGGTTCTTCCCTTCTTTAACCTCCCTTCCTTTATGTTTTATTTTGTATGTAGGTCCTAACTCTGCAAAAAAAGAGTAATTTTCCTGTCTATCACACCTTTTACACTCATAGTGCACCAAGCATCTGATCTAGAGGCGATCAGTACGGTTAGAATGGACGAGCACTGATATCCATGGTTTATTGACTTTCAATTACTCTGGAGTTAAAAGACTTTTTTTGTTTACGAAAACCACCAAAGCCATTAGGATATCGGCCACCACAAAAGAGCTGACAGGGAGTGAAAAGCAGTCCTCTGTTCTAGTAACGATACATTTCAAGAGATTTAGCCAGCAATTAAACTTGTTTACCAGTGAATACAAAGGAAAACTACCTCAAGAGAATAACCTCATGAGACTTTTATTACACTAATATTCATCGACAATCTTTTCGTATATGATCTCTTTGCGATTTATACACGCATTTTAAAAACGTTTCGGAAGAGATGAAATCTTTATGCTCCATTCAGATGGAGCAAAGTTAAAATTCAACAAAGAGAGGGATCAAAGGATCATAATGCCAGCTCCTTTACGAGTCGCGCTAATGCTTAAAAAGTGCATGTCAAAAATTGATCGATCGATCAACGTCAAATATAGTTTGTTCCCACATAGTATTACTTGCGCCGCATATTTGTCGATAATTATCCTACTAAATAGTCCAAGGACGCCGCTTTTTTCGTATAGCACCTTACCTTATGTGTTATTACTTGAAAACAACAAGAGCATCAAAAAGGGGAAATGTCATATCACTAATGAATGCACTGACTTTTAATCACGAACCTCTCTTTGAAAATGTAAATAATTAAAGTAAGTGATAATAAAGATTCATAGCTCTATTTCAAAGTTCCATTCTTCACCGTAGTAAATGATATATTAAATAACCATTTAATTGATATCTGCAACTAATCTTGTTATGGAATTTTACCAGTCTTTGTCATTGAAGGGTTTTAAACTATGCTGCATACATTTCTAGTCCCAACTGTGTATCCCGTACAAGCCTGATTTTTTTCAGGTCTGATTTTCGCTATTGCATAAATAGCGCTATCTACTGCGAAGAATCGTGTATCATACGTATTTAATACCGCAGTTCAAAATATATGAACTTCATATATTCATTGTATCTGATTTATCATCACGGGTTTATTACGGATCAACTTAACGGCCTGCTCCCAGTTGGCTTGTTAGCTTATTGGTAGATCGCTGCATTAGTATCGCAGAGGTCAGTGGTTCGAATCCCGCACAGGCCTGATTTTTTCAGGTCTGATTTTCGCTATTGCATAAATAGCGCTATCTACTGCGAAGAATCGTGCATCATACGTGTGTATCATTAGTTAGGACGATTTACGCTGTACCCATTCGACTAATAGCCCTCTTATCCATATATCCTCGCATGCAGTTTTCTATATCAAACGATTCATGAAAGACTTAACCACCGTTTCCCAACGGTCCAAAAAAAATGAAAAGCATTCAGTATAATAAACATAGAAGTCTTGATCAGTGTTACGCTATTAACCATTCAGAAACTCTATGAATGTCCATTCGGTTATGAATGGGGCTCCTTAAAAGTTGTTGTCTCAAGAATCCCAAAGTGAACTGATATACAATCAAACCAAATGTTTAAATGATTTGTATAATGTATGTTTGATTTCAGGAAAAGAAAGAAGTCCCAGTAAGCGGCACAGCAACACGATATAAACAACACTCGTGTTCCATTTTTTTCAACAGTTGTTCCTATATTCGCCGACCATTAATTCAATAATATAACTTGAAACTTGAGCCCTCCAATGTTCAAGTAAATACCATTAAGCTGAGGTCAGATAATATCCACATGGAGGGCATTACTTTGTTTTTTCATTTGCTAACCATTTAGCTAATCATGCGGGTATGGCAATTACATCGGTATTTTGGCCTACAAGCGGTTCCGATTGACAAGTAAAGTATGAAGAATGAAACGGCGTGGTTTATATCTCTCACAAGTCCGCCACATCCGCTTTCTAAGCAATCAAAAATTAAGAACAAAATCGGATCACCACCAAATATGACTCTTATCCAAACGGTCGAATCTCTGGCAAATTTGATCGTGGCAGGGTCTAAATACAAGAAAAACGTCTGGCACGCAGTAACCTTCAGCGATGTAAATTTCCAGAACAACAATTATCAATTTATCACTTACTTTTGCTCAATACGGAAGATTGATAAGATTGCTAAACAGCTCAATAACTTTCGTCTTTTAAGTGTGATACGCCTTATGACTATCCCTGCTGTTTGATCTCTCGATAAAGGAGCCACTTGTCAGTACCAATTGTATGATCACTGCTAATTCAGAGCCATGATATTCCATAAAATCAGTGCCAGAAAACAATTTTCTTCACCCTTAATGTACTAAACGATACGCACGACATGGTGACCAAAAAACATCTAACCTTCCGTTTGTGCCCTTGCGACTTACAACCGAGTACAATTGCAAGAATACTCACAGTTGTCGCCTCGTGGCGTCAGTTAGACAATTCCCTGGGTAGAGGATTACCGAAAGCCAAAGGGCAAAACCTCTAAAAAAAAAAGTGGATTGGCTCCACGAGCTGTCTTGTATTCACACGGCACTCAGTTATCAACCAGTTAAAATGCGTTGTCTCTGATAGGGATTAAATCATGTCCCGCGAGGACTGTGCTCAATTCATAACATAACAGGCTGACTCGGCTTGCTTGATTTCACCGCAGTACTGAATCGTGCTCGGATGAGCGGATAAAGTTACATATACTCTAAAGGTGACCATACGTCAAATGCATTCTGTTGCGTGCCTTTTTTAAGAGGCATATCGTTTCAATCAGTCAGCTAAAACAGGTTAGCAATTTCGGATTTCAGGCAAAATGTACGTATTTGTCCGGAAACACCATAAGCACGTAGCTCTTCAGTAAATAAGAACGGGTCACCCCATGTGGCCTGCAGCGTCAATTCTGATCCGTGGGTATGATTTATAGCCTTAGGAGTAGGGTTTTCCAGGAGAACGAGTTTATTTGATGTTTGTTTTAATGATTTTGTATCCATCAGAACATCGTAACTAAGCAAACAATATGGACTAAGAAACTTAGAAGTTTAGGACTCCTGCGTGAGATCTTTGTCGACGGAATATGCTTCGAAATCAAAAATTCCAATGAATAAATAAATACCTGAAAAGTTCCTTTGGTTCTCGGCCGCAAGGGTGGGAAACGTTTTAATCTGTCGTATCCTCCAGTTTACCGCTTTCTTGTGATAGTCATTTGTCGAGGAAAAATACCCTTGGTGAACAATACAATTTATATACAATAACCAATGGACACTCTAAGGATTTATCTACAGATAGCTTATCGTAAGTTGAATATGATCACTCGCACAGACATTGAGTGGTTACATGACGACATCATCGGACATCGTAACACATTAAATTCGTAATCTTTCCGACAAGAATTACATATTTATCAAGTGAATAAGAAGGTCGTCTATCTCAGAAAGAGAAACACACAAAGACACGGCGAAAAAATGGCGCACGTTTTTGTTCAGTGGTCTATGGAACAGAGAGAAGTTCAGGATGCCAAATTGGTAACAACCGAGCGCACATGCTGTGATGTTAAATGGTGCAGAAGAATCACCTGCAATCCAGTTTACGTCTTGAAAAAATGGCACTCAGATAAATTTAAATCACACATAATAAGAACAGGTTCCGTAAAAAATTCCGCGTTCATGGAAATAAATCACGATTATCTAAAACAGAAAGTATCATCAGGTGGCTTAAGGTTTGGCACTGCTTTTCAAGGGAAGGCGGGGAGGCTCCCATTGGAGTTAACGAGGAAACTAGGAAGCTACTTTAAGAAATGGTATGGGAACACTTTCAATTCTAAGACAAAATTTATTCATTTATTAAAAAATTGGCTGTTCTTAGCAGGGGCTACAAATGATTATAGCGAGACCCATTTCGTTTGCTTTATCGACATTTTCTTTAAAAAAGCCCGGCCCTCGGCGACTGTGGGCACTAGTTATATCAATGCGACGTCATGGTGCCAACCGACAGAAGACTCAAACACCTCATGGTGAGCTGCTTCAGTTTTTTACCCAAAACCCCTCCCCCCTCAAAAGTTAAATGGTCGACCCCTAACCATAATCTTGTACAATGAACGTGATAATCATATTAAACAATAACACCCGAATGCGTGAACGTAACAGCCCTCTGTCATGAACTTATTACTCCAGGATATCGTTTTGCGTCTCCAGTGTGAATTCCAAGCGTTCATGTCATAGCCTTTAGAACATATCAAGCTTTTTTTTCATTTTGAACATCACGAAATGGAAATTCCAGTCTCCAGCGAGCCTGAATAAACAACTCAGCGATGTGGGTTGGACGTCCAAAGTCGAATGGATTCTGGGCTATGAAAACAAGATTTTTATGAAGGGCGATACTTCCTCATCATATCAGAGTAATGAAATTGTCTTAGTGATGCAAATTTTTATGTATTAGGATGAAACCGCCATGCAAAATTAGACTGGAGATGCAGCTGTAATAAGGAAGTTATATTAGTAATTGATGAGGCTCTTAATCGATAAAAGTGGTATTTCCTGTTAAATTTGGGCGCCAATTCGGCCTTTTCTCACTCTTCTGGACGTTCAGCATCTCGAGATTGTCTTGAACACATCAAATTCTCATTTGCATTTGTCTTCAAAACTCCTACACTTTCATCCTAGGCGAAGGCAAAAGACAAAATGCAAATCGAAATTGACAACCTAAAGGTGACTGTGTGGTGTTCTAGCTCCAGTTTTCATTTCTCGCTTATGTATAGGAAACTCTACAAGGGTAACGCTGAAGAATAAGCTCTTACACCTGATCATGAATAATTCCGACATATTTCGTACGCAAAGAAAAATTAAATACAAATAATTTACTCCAGATAACTTTAGTGCAACTTGTTACACTACATCTTTTCCGTGTTGAGCCTGGCTGCTATACAAATTGGCTTTGGTTAGTTATCTGACCTATCAGATACATATTAGGGTTTCGTATGTATTTGTTCCTATAAATGAACCCGACTTATCTTTGCAGTAAATATTGATGTCTGCGTGAAAAAGTGAGCTGGTTCAAACAAATAGCGTGACCCGGTACGAGTGGCGGATATATTTTTTGATTAGGATCTTTTAATAGCTTATCAAGAAATTTCCGACGATGAGAAGTAATCGACACCTATTAAGTACAGACATGTTTGAAGCAACGTTAATGAAAAAATATATGCATAAAAACCGAGGGCGCTCTTTACGAAAAGGAGCCTTGACGTACGTACTTCATTAAAGTTCGCGTAAATTTTTAGAACCTTTACCACAATCTGACTGATATCAATTGTTTGACCTCACATCACCCAGAATGTGTAGGCACATCCAGGACACGTAATTACCTTAAACCTTGGGGCAATTCGCGATGGCCACGTTATATCGGCAAAAGTCGAGAACTTCATGTTCTTCCTAACTGAACTGAAATAAAGATATTTTTCCACTTGGAAAAAAACCTTCGAAAAATCGGTTCTGGCCAAATTATTCGGTCCCAGTTACCTATATGCATCTTTGCAGGGGCCTGTACAGTGGACTTTTCTCTTCAATTTGATAACATGCTGTGATACATTCATTTGGGTCCTTCACCGGATGTCATGACAATGGAATTCAAATTTATAAATTTATGTATGATGCACGATCCTTCGCAGTTGATAGCGCTATTTATGCAATAGCGAAAATTAGACCTGAAAAAAATCAGGCCTGTACGGGATTCGAACCACTGACCTCTGCGATACTAGTGCAGCGCTCTACCAATTGAGCTAACAAGCCAACTGGGAGCAGGCCGTTAAGTTGATTCGTAATAAACCCGTGA